AATTGTGTCATTGGGATTCAACTGCCCTTTTCCGAATCCCTATTTTTTTTGGTCACTTTGATGTTTTTCTGTCCCATTACATATGGATAGCACCAGACAATCCAGATAGCTGTCTATTGTGCACCTATGCGTTTGCTTTAACATCGTTAGGTATGAGCACTCTAGTGGACTCATTTGTGAGTTGTACTTATAAGCTCGAGTGCATACGCACATCAACACTTGCAGTTTCGAAGGTTTGAGTGTAGGAAATGGCCTATTCATTTAAATGAATTTGGGGAGATTTTCTGAAAGATGCCTTTTGCAAGAATTACTCCTTTGGCATTCTTTGGTTTGCGCAAACTAGAATAATCATGTTTTGTTGATTCCAAAGCTTCCGCTTAGCTTGCATCAAAATGAGGACAATGTTATCCTTATTAAAAATAAGGAAAGTTGGACTATTCGGTGGCACTTACGTCTCTGACGATCAGCCTATTTCGCATGTTTCAGGTGGTTTGCAAGAAGGGGCACATCCATATGGCGATAGCCAGACTGATACTTCTACCGAAAAACCTGATGTTGCCAGTCAATTGCCCGGTGAGGCGCATTTAGTTTCTAACTCTAACTCGAATGCAGTTCTTTCGTCAACTTCAGAACGTCAAGACACCGGAGCTGAAACAGATGAGCACGTAAGTTCACTGTCTCTATTGGGATTTCTGATGCTTTGAATTAATAAAGCATTCCCCTCGAATAGCTATCCTGGATTTAGACTATCTACCTCACATCAACTTGCTAGAAAAAGTAGTTATTCTTCTGATTTGATCCAAAAGGGAAGGTTTTCGCCAGAATAATTACAAACTTCGCATAGTTCTGGCGCTCACTGTTTGGTATTTTTGGTGCTTAAATTATTACTTCAAGGCAAATGATGGACTACAGTTTGTGTCTACTTCCAATCATGCCTGAGCTACTTGTATGTGCCTTCAGCACTCTAACAACCAAGATGAAGACGTCGACGACACAATGCTGTCTCGTCTTTATATCGTTGCTTCGGAGGGTTTCAAGTTCCCTGCTTCTCGATCCATTACTCGTCGAGTGCGTCAGCTTTCTCTGTGCGATTCTTCCGAAGTCCTCATGTCCCAATCACCGTAAGCAATTCATATTTATAGGCATGTGGCGCGCATTTGCTTATTTAGCATTGGAGTCTGTTGCACTGGTTTTCGCGAGATGCAGGGTTGGGCTTGGGTATTAGGATCATCAAATAGTTGTAATCTCACTGCTGAGTTAAGGCCAGAGGATTTTTTAGAAATATATGCGTCTCCATACGTCTTTAGACCAGAAGATGACATAGACTCGCAACTTCGCAGGCTGTCCGAGCTTGAACCGAGCACAATTTCGACAGACACCTTGACCAAGGACGCTCAGCCCTCTGCACCTTCTATCTCTCAAGTGGGTACACACTCTTCGTCACTCGACGGCTTATAATGAATGATTCACTGAGCAGGTTTCATATCTACGCAAACGTAATTGTTGTCATTGTTAATCCTGGAGGCAAGAGTGTTTTCTTTTTTGCTTTTTTGTTACAATGTTAAAAGCGCATTGCCGTTTGCACTTTTTGCAGCAATCGGGTTGTTTGCAAATTTCATGCAACCTTTCAGGTTGCGTATGTCCTGTGTGCGCGTTGTTCAAGTGTAACGCCGTATTTGTTTATCCTGACCTCACTGCTCCGTGTGCATCTGTCCAGGGGCGATTAGCGACAGTCTACTTTCTTATCTCCGTTACCTCGACGAATTTAGGCAGTTCGTTTGTCATATGATGCACTAAATTGCTCAATGGATTGTCATTATAATTTAAGGAAGTTGATTTAACATGAATTTTGGGACCAGTATATTTTGAATTCCCTAAGTTGGCTTGGTTCTTCCGTGTTTGCGTTTATGAACAATTACAATTCAGTTACTTGCGTTTGCACGAAAGTGCTTATGTTATGTGTGGAAGATTCGCGCCGGTTG